GTCCTTGCAGGGCAGTGTGGACAGTAGGAAAGGTTTCTGGGGGCCGATGGACATGATGTCTAAACAGGAGAGGAAGGCAGGGTGAACACAGCCTGCCGACCCCTTCTGGGCACGTCACTTCTTCCTGGAGACAAGAGGAGGTCCTCCCCTCAGCCAGCATGGGCCACGCTTCCCTCTCTCTGATCTCTGGGCCACATTTTCTTTGCCACCTGGTGCCATATAACAAGAAAAGTGACATCACATTCTCCAGCCAAGGGCCTGGGAGCCTTCCAAGTGCTGGGGGAACACAGTGCTGTCTCTGCTGCCAGCTCCAGCGAGGTTGGCAGGGGCCCTGAAACCAAGAGGCCACCTCTGCCTCACAGCAGACCTCAGTAATCCCTCAACGGCAGTCACTGGCCCTCAGGCCTGCTGCCCCTGGCCAGGCAGTGGCTGTTTTGCCTCATCGAGGCCAGTGACACTGTCCAGGAGGCCGTTTGACCAAGGGAAGTCATGCAAGACCAGTCTTTATACGCAGCGGTGCCCAGAATTGGTGCTTGGTGCTGTGTGTGTGTGTGGGGGGGGGGTGGAGGGAGATGGGAGAGCCTGCGCTTGGCTGCTCACTGATCTCAGGACCTTAGGTAGGTCATTGAATCTCATGAGCCTCGGTGTCGTCCTCTGTAGAATGGGGTCAGGCTAATGAATGCCTTTCTCCCCAGCTGGTTGGGAGGACTGAGAATGGGAAGCCATTATTTTAAACATAAAGCTTGAAGCAAGTGTAAGACCTCTCAGGCTGACCATGGTCCCGTTGGAGGCAGTTATTGAGGCTGGGCTACAGGTGTGAGGGGGTGGGCGGCCTGAGGCTCCTGGGAGAGAGGCCCTTCAGCTGGACGTGAAAGCTGCCAAGCCCATGCTCAGGTCGTGGAGGAGGGAAAGCGGCGTGAGGCCCCGCTGCATGGATGAGGCATTGAGGCTCTCAGAGGGGCAGGGCTTGTTCAGGGGCACAGGCTCGTGTCTCCTCAGGCCACCTCGCTGTGGGCAGCCCTTGGGCCTGCCCCAGGGAGCGCACATTCTCAGGAGATAGCCCAGCCCACATGTCCTGGCCCCAATCATGGTGTTTCCCATCCCTGTGGAGAAGGCAGGGCCTCCCTGGTGAGGAGGGGCCTCTGCAGCGTGGCACCTGCATCTCCACCCCTCAGCGAGCAGAGGCAGGGGCAGCTTGGGGCTGGGGCTAAGACAGGGCAGCCTGGCCACAGAGGGGAAGTGATGCAGTGGGAAAGGACCTGGCCTTTGAGTCCCACTGACAGGGTCTGTGGCCAACCTGCAGTGTCACCTGGGGCAGCTCACTTCCTGTCCCTGAGCCCCACAGCCTCTTGAGGTTCTTGTGAGGCTCAGAGAAACCAAAGAAACTGACACCTCCCGGGCCTGCCTCATGTCTGCCCTTCACAGATGGTGGCCTGGAGGGTTGGCCGGTTGTGCCCAGGGCTGTGGTGGACGAGGCGAGCTCTGGGGAGTTCTGAGATAAAGCCCCGCCACAGCTTGCCCCGCCCCGTCCACACAGCTGGTGCTGGGCCAGGCCCACCTGCAGAACGCTGATAAAAAGGGACCCTTTCTACCAGACACCTGCCGGCTTAACCCCCCTTCCCTCAGACTCCCCTGGGGCCACAAGGGACAGGCAGAACATCATTGTGAAAGGACTTCAGCGGACGCTTGCAGACCCAAGGGACAGTGTGGTGGGCTACTAGGCCCTGAATACCCCAAATCTCATCTGAGTCCCACCTGAGTGTGATCTCAGAGACTGGGGGCCACTGAGGGAGAGTGGATGGACAGTCCCCAGCGCCCCTGACCTGGACAGGAGGCAGCCTTCCTTGGGGGGCCGCCTTCTGACATCGGGGAATGCCAAAAGCATTTGTGCGGCCCCAGGAGCTAACATTTGCTAGATGCCTGGTCTGATCGCATAATAGCCCTGTAAGGCCAGGCCCAGAGGGGGTCCCCAGCACTTGGTCCTCTCCTATGCTGGGCCACAGGCTCCTTCAGGGCCATCGTGTGCCGACAGGGCGAGGACCCCACAGATGTGTCGTGGGAGCGGGCTGAGGGGCTGCCTGGCTCCTCCCTTAGCCTTCTGAGCTTGCTTTCCTCTTTGTAAAACAGGAATCGGATGTCACCTCCCCCGCACGGTTGAGGCCAGGGGTGCGGGTGTGTGCAGGGCACAGGGCCAGGCAGGTGGTGAGAGCCGGCGCTGTGCTGCCATTTTCCTGGTTGCTGCGCCATTCCCTAAGCCTTGCGTGCTCCTCCCCAGACGTTCTCAGGGGTCACTCCCACCCCCATCCCTCTGCTCCACGGGGCGTTCCCCGACTCTCTGGCCCTCCCTGGCACCCTTCCCTCCTGAACTTTTCTCCCCAGCACTTCTCACCAGCTATATGGTTTCACCGTTTGGGTTTTGTCCCTGTGGCTCCCCAGAACCTGAAACAGTGCCTGGGGTATAGTAGTTCTCAGTAAGTGTTTGGTGAATGAGTGGAGGGGTCTGCACACCAAGTCGGCTTGAGCAAACACAGGGCCAACAGCCTGCAGGGGACCCAGAGCCGGCAGGCTCCTTGTTTCTCCTGTGCGCTACCCTGAATGAGGCCCGAGGAAGGGACAGCCCCTGGGGAGGCTCCCAGCTCTTCTCCCTCTGACCTCCCATGCCCCCCCCCCTCCCCGCTTCACAGCCTCCTTCCATCTTCAGGCCTGGCCCCCCAGAGGCGGGGACTGAGAGGAAAAGGGGCTGGGTTCTCCTTTCCGAACTGCCATACAGGCATAAAGGGCCTCCACCCCCCACCCCAGGGCCCCCTTGGAGTGCTGGATTGTGTGCACACACATGCATGGGTGCATGTAGGTGGCGAGAATGGGGGCTTCAGGATGGGTGTGGATTTCGTAACTGCTTCATGGCAGGGCATGACCTGTCCTTGTATAGCTTGGGCTCAAGGGGAGAGCCCCTGGCCCTACCAGGACTTTGTACTGACCCCCCCTGGCTCTCCCACCCCTCTCCCAGTGTCTAGAGGCCCAACATCACACCCTTCCCACTGCCCCCAGTACGGGGACGTCCTAGCAGTGTTCTATTTGTAACAGCGAAATACTCCCAAGGCAGAGGGCATCTACTCGGGGTGGGGTCACTGTACAAAATAAGATGGAGAGAGGTGACAGGCAGCACAGGGGCCTGGGGCTGAGGCAGATGGGAAAGGCCAGCAGAACCGTCCCCACTGTGTGGCCCCCTTCATGAAACATACAACCTGTTTACATGCACACACACGACAATTTAAAGGCACCAAACAAGTGGCTCAATTGGTTAAGAGCTCGCTCAAGAGTTTGAGCTCTGAGCAACAGCGGTTCGAGTCCAGCCCGAACTGAGCAGCCACTGAGCTGCCAACAGGTAGCAGGATGGCTCAGCTAAAAAAAAAAATAAATAAATAAATAAATAAAGGCACCAAACAAGACTGGAATGAAAGACTCCAAAGTGAAAAGAGACTCCTTCTGGGCACACCAAGGAAATGCCTGTGCTTACTCATAGACCATATTGTTTGAGGGTTCTTTCATGAGCCTGTGTTCAGCTATTACAGAATTACATATAAAACTAATTTTTAAGTACGGGGTGTATTCCGGCTCTCAGAGCACTTTCACATCCAGATCTGGGGGGCTGGGCCTATCTGCCCCTAGGGACTACCTGTCCCATGGCACTGAGCTTGTCCAACAGGCCCTGCATTTCCTCACTTCCCCCACCCTGTCCCCGAGGCATGAAGGGAACAGGCCATGCTTCACGGTCAGCTGGACACAGACCCCATCCAGGCCCCTCATGTGCTGGGTCATCTCTGTCCCTCAGAGCCCCATTTCCCCATCTGAAAAAAGGGCCATCATTATAGTACTAGTGTCAGAGCCACTGGGAGGGTGTTTTTGGGGAAGGGGTGGGGGAACGATCAAGGGAGACTCCCTTCTCCCTGACAGACCTCAAATTAATCATCCTTTAAAAATATTCATCAGTGAATGAAAACTTGAGAATACTAAGAAACAGACTCCATCAGAAGGGTTTTTCAGCAAGAGTCCCTTATTTTCTACTCAAGACTACATTGAGGTGATGACATAAAGTTATTTAAAGTAAAAACTATTAAAAGAGCAAGGAAAATTTGCAAGAACCACATTGATTTTAGAAACTTTTCCTCTTATCTCAGTCAAAAAGTGATATAGAAGATTTACATAAAGAAGCGAATAAACGTGACTTAAGAGCTATGAAAAAAGAAAAGAATACACTGAGGAATAACCTAACATTTAGCACATTGGTCTGATGGTGAAATTTCTCTCTTTAACTGCCAAGCCATCCTCGCAGAGACTCGAGGCCTCCCCCTTCCCCATTTAGGAGGCACAAGTGAAAAGGTTTGTCAGGGTCAGGCACCTGCTCACCACCAACACGAATCCCACAGGCCTTTCACTGTTGCCAGCTTTGTCCTCGGCACCTGCCCTGTGCAGGCGCCCATGAGGCACCCAGTTGACATTTGTGTCAAATGAGTACCTTGGCCTCTCCCTCAGAGCTACCTGCGCCAACGTGCAGATCGACAGCTCTCCGGCTCTGGCTTGGGGCCTTGAGGGCCACCTCCTCTGCTCTCTCTGCCTGAGGAGTCAGGGGTAGCTCATGTAAATAACCCCAGACCTGGCCCACCGTCTCCCAGGGACAGGTTCCCCACTCCTGGGTTCCCACGGGCCTCTGCCTGCTCAGCCTGAATGTCTGGCATGAGGATTAAATAAGGGATCTGCAGTCCTGAGGGTGACAGGTGATGGTACTAGTGGTATTGGGGGAAGGGATTGGGGCCCAATCTTCCCACCTTGCGCCCACCCTTCTGCCCCATAGGAGGGCATTCCCTGCCTAGGCTCCTCTCCCGGCGCCTGGCCCCTCCACCCCCTCACCACACACCCACACCCACGTCCACACCCACCACCCCAGATCCGCTTCTCCTTTGCAGCTGCCCCACCGCCTACACCTTCCTGCCACAGAGTTGCTGGCCCGTGGGCCGGGGCTGGGAAGGCAGTGGTCCAGGGCTCCTCAAGGTCGGGCAACTTAGGGTTCTGTGTGAGTCCTTGGGGTTCCCTGATCCAGAAAGTTGGGAGCCAGCCTTGCTCCCCTCATTCCATAGCATTACTGGCTCCTCCTGAACAATGGCTAGATGGTTCACCTGCCCTGGACCATAGTGGCAGCCTCTTTGCTGCTCCGCTCACCTGTCCAGTCTCTAACGTCACAGCTGCCAGAGACACGGGGTCCCCTCTAAAGCTCTACTTAGAATCTCTCCCTCCACTCAGACACCTCCTCACGGCTCATCTGCAGCCGCAGGAACTCCCTCCCTCCACAGCACCCCCAAGGTCAGAGGCCATGCCTGTACCCAGAGCAAGCTCCCCCTTTCACCTCTCTATACCTGTGCCTCTGCCTGGAAGGTTTTCCTCCCCCTTGCAGCTGCTAAAGATCCACTCCTGTCCCCAAGCCTTCTCCCTGTCCCCTGGACAGTTACTCTTTCCTCTGTGCCCCCAGCCCTAGAGTGCTTAGGGGGCTGGTATGGCCCACCAGAAGGCACTAGCCTGCATCCATGCTGAAGCCTTCTGTCAGCCGCTGCCCTGAGATGTCAAGGAAGGAAAGCCCAGGGAGCCTCTGTGTGTGTGTGTGTGACTCAGTCTGACAGACACGGGGTGAGAGACAGGTGGGGGAACCCAAACACTGAGGAGTAGAGACAGACAGGAGGGGCCTCAGTGAGACATAGGTGTGAGCAGCCCAGGACACACACAGTCCTGGGGGAAAAAAGTCAGGGTGGGTGGGCCGCCTACTTGGCTTCGGTCTGTCTGTCCATCTCTTGATCTGAATCTCCTTCCTGCTTAGGATCTGGAGACCGAGCCGTCCCTGGACCCTTGTCTGTCCTCCCCCCATACACCCTCTGTGCCTTCCACTCCAGCCAGGGGTTCCTTGCTAACAGAGATCTGACTGTCCCTGCTTAAAGCTTTCTGTGGCTCCCCAGCCTTCAGGCCAGTGTCTGAGCTCCTTAACCCACAGTCAAGGCCCCAGGCCTGCCCTCTGATCCTGGCACTCCCTGGCCTTCGTACCTGGGCCTTGAGGCCTTTGCTTACACTAGCCCTCTTCCCTATCATGCTCCCCTAGACATCACTCCATTCTAGCAAACGACTCATTCTCTCCACAAAGCCTTCCTGGGCCCTCCAGCTCTCCAGCCCTCCGTGGTGCTGACCTGCACTGGCTGCCGTGAGGCATGTCTCTCCCGTCACCACCCCCAGTGTTGGCACTCAGGATGTGTTTGGTGAACTGAACCAGCTCTGTCTGAGAAGGGCAGGAGGGCTCCCCAGAGAAGGAGGCAGGTGGGGTGCGGAGTGAGACGGCTGGTGGGGATCACCTGGGGCTATGGGCTGGCCTGGGGAGTAGGACAGAGGAGGCCCGCCGTGGGAGGTGGGGGAGGGGGCATCCTCCGCTGGCCAAGAGCAGGCCGGGATGTGAGCCCCAGCCCTGTCCGAGTGCCCAGCAGAGGGCCCTCCCAGCCGGACGATGGCTGAGCGGGTGAATGGAGAAACCACAGGTAGAAAGAGAAGGTCTGGGGTGCAGGGCCCTAGCGCCCAGGCTGAGAGTGGTCCCACCCCAGCGGTCCCACCCCAGCAGGCAGGAGGGCGGAGCGAGGGTAGTGGGCGGTGGCCCCTCCTGGTTTCCTCCCCCTGGGGCAGCAGAGGCGACTCAGTCCCAGCTGGGTGTGTGTTGGTAACAACAGCATGAGGCGAGGGGCCAGGAGCCGGAGAGATGGGGACGGGCTGGTCCCCACGCAGTGCTTCCAGGCCGAGTGCTTTGACAAGCTGGTCCGCAAATGCATAGACTGCAAGCTCCTCCGGACGCCGAATCCTACACCGGGTAAGAGCCAGGCGATTCCGACGGCTGCCCCAAAGGGCGGCCTCCAGGAGGAGGGGGAAGGCGCTGCCGCCACGGAGGACGCCCCGTCTGCCAGAGCCCAGGCACAGCCCGCCCCACGGTCCCAGGACGTTGGGGCGNCCTTGAAGACTGGGGCTAGCCCAGTCTTTTCCCCCGGGGTGATGGAGAGACAACGGGAGGGCGCCGGCCAGGCGATGCCCATCATCATAGGTGTGGGGACGCCCCAAGACCCCAGCCCCGGCGTCCAGGAGGTCTGGGACCAGGGCGCGCGCTCTGGGGTAAACGCTGTGCCCTAGGCGGCGCGGAGGGGATCCACACTTCGCCCTGTGCAGCCAGCCGCTCTGCTGGAAGTTTTCTTCCCATTTGACTGGCGGGAAAATCGGGGTTCAGAGAGGGGAAAGGGCCTGCCTCGTGTCACACCTCTCTGTCTCGATCAGAACTAACGGAGGAGAGGAGCAGGAGGCGGGAAGTTGGGGGCGGCAACAACCTTCCCGCGTCGCCTTTGTCGCCTCAGTTCCCGCACCTGTGAAACCTTGACGCTACCGCGACGGGCCTGTTGCCCAAAGCTAACAGCCCCGAGGGCCGTAGCTGAGTCGCCTGGCGCGCACAGTTGCGAGAAACGATTTGAGGAAGCCTTGGGGTGAGGTGCCCCGGCTTTCTTCCCGCGCGCACTCCCGCCCCCGCCCGCCCGCCCGAGCCCGCGCGCAGCCGGAGCCGCAGCCAGAACGCGGGCAGCGCGGAGCCGGCGGCGGGAGGGCAACAGTGCGGGGCGGCACGCCCGCTGGGCTGAGCGGCCCAGGGCCGTGCGCAGGCGAGGACCCGCCGCCCCGACCTGGGGGCGTCCTAGGGCGCAGACTGGCCGGCTCGGGTCCGAAGTGAGCCCGGGAAGAGGACGCGCCCAACTGCCCCAGGAGCTCCGGGTCAAGCCCACCAGGGTCTGGAGTGCTAGGGGGGAGCCTGACGGCCGAGGAGGCGTCCGCCGGGAGCCCCGCCTGCGAGGCGGGCCCCGCGCGATCCCTGCGGGCGAGAAGGAGCCGGCCCGGCGGCCGGGCCGTAGGAAGCCGCGGCGCGCCGCCATGCGCGGGGCACTGTAGCCGAAGGNCCCGAATTTGGGGCGAGTTGTGGGGGCGGGTTGCGCCGCAGAACGCCTCCCCCCGCGCTCTAGGCTTGGAGCTGACCTCGGTGTTGTGTCCAAGGAACCCGCAGGCCGGCGAGGCCAGGGCGGGCCTTTCCCGGGTGGACGCACTGTGTGGCCTCCGCCGAGCCCTATCCTCTCTGGGTCTGTTCCCGTGCTATGGTCTTGATGGCCATCTAAAGACCTGCACGTGCACTGAGGCCTTTGGAGGGTCGTGAAGGGGGAAACTAATGGGGGTACTCTAGGCAGAGGGATAAACTGTGGCGTCTGGAGGCAGGGGAGGAGAGGGGCGGATCAGAGAGTGCTTGGGGAATTGGGACAGGAGGCTGAGTCCCAGCTCCCAGCACCCAGATCACACCAGTCCCTTGCAACATCAGGAGCCCAGGCACCCCCTCCCTCCCACAGGCAGCTGGAGCCTGAGTCAGAGCTGTCTCTGGGAGACAAAGGAGCCTAGCTCCCCCCCACTCCTAGGCCCCCTCCCAGTACTGTGTTAGCAGGAAGTTCATAGTCCCCTGTGCTAGCAGGGAGTCCATAGTCCCCACAATATCTGTCTCTATCATCAACGAGGAAATGGAAGCAAAATGGGCTTGGGGATGATGCCTTTGAGATTGTGGATGGTACCCACAATGGTGATCACCAGCTAGCTTCCCAGCACGGAAGTGGTAGCATCTCCCATGAAGCTGCCTATGACTGGGTGCTTCTTAGTTGGCTTCTCCCTACTGCCCTGTGAAAGAGGTGCTAGCAGCCCATGTTGCAGATGAGAAAACTGAGACCTAAAAAGGTTGAATGGCCTTATTAGAGCAGAAATTGCAATCCACATTAGTTTGGCTCCAAAACGAAGGATAAGTAAAAACTCTCAGTGTGAAGGGCTGGGAAGGCATTGCAGGAAGACAGAACTGCCTGAGGGAAGCCCCAGGGCTCATGCAGGAGTTAGGGTATGTCAGGCATTGCTCAGGTGTTCAGTCAGGCACTGGGTGTGTTGTCAGGGTGTAGGAACACTTCCTTAGGCTCTGGGTCAGGGTCCTCCAGCTGCTCTCTCTGTTTGTACTGAACTGGCCAGAAGGCAGGTTTGGGGCTCACAGTGCAGGTTCCAGGCCAGACCCTGGCCCTTCCTGGCAGTATGTCAGTCATAGCAAGTCATTTCCCCTCTCTGGGTCTTGGGTTTTTCTCTAGGAAATCCCAAATTCCCTGACTCAGGGCTGGGCAGACTGGTCACTCACCATTTAAAATGGGGATACTGAGGCCCAGGCTTTCTTTATGTGCACAACCTCTCAGGACACCCTGAGCCTTGTACAGTCACAGCTGGGCACTGNCTAGACTGAAGAACAAAAGGACAGCAACTTGTCTGTTTCCCTTCCCCCAATTCCCCAGCACTGTTCCCATCCCCCAATTCCCCAATTAAAAAAAAGTCTTAAAAAAGAAAAAAGACAATGACTTGACTTGGAGCTGATGGGTCCTTGAAAAACACACTGTTTCCCAATAAAAAAATTTCTTTAAAAAAAAAGGGGGATTTCAGTACTATCCATGGTTTCAGGCATCCCATGGGGGTTTTGGACCCGTTTCCTACAAATGAGAGAGGTAAACTGTATATTGTAACTGATGCAGTAGCACCTCCTTGTACATAAATCTTTCCCTGAGTCTGTTTCCCAGGAGATTTGTTGCAACCAAAGGCCTTGACCTTTTAAATGCTCCTGTTTGTCCGTGAGCGGGAATTATACAGCCCATTTTGCTGATAGGAAAAAAAAGGCCCAGAGAGGTGAAGGGACCTGGCCCTAGATAACGATAAGCAGTGATGGAGCTGGGCTTGACTTGACCCAGGCGCCCGCTCCTGCCCTGTGCGCCTGCACAGGAAGTCACTGGCCCAGGTGCCCTCCTTAGGAGCTGCTGACTCCATGGATCGACTCCAGGTTCTACTCCTTATTTTCATCGCTACTCAAAGTTTTCTCTCTCCAACTGGTCTCTTTTTGTATTAAGAGGGATCCAAGACAGATTCTGGAAGAACCGCTTGTTGGGATGGAAACTGAGAGAAGCAGTCCCCCTCCCCCTAGCCTGTGTGTCTTGCCAATTTTTCCTGAAGGAGGGTCTGGTTTCCCCAAAGTCCCCAGGGCCCTGGCAAGTGGGGGTGGAGCTGGCTGAAGTCTCAGTTCCTCCTGGGGTTTCCTGCAGGCACCTTTCACTTCCTGCCCTGCAGCCCCGGATTCAGAGCTCAGGGTGGGGGTAGGGAGGCCCAGCTGGTGA